TCTGTCAAATTTAGTTGAAAGCAATGTTTACCCCTAAAGATTAAAAGGCTCTATGAATTCAAAAATTTAGCATTTTTACTTCAGTGAAATAAGCTTACAGATTTGCATGTCATTTTAATTCATGTCAGAAATGCTCATGATAATGAAAGTTTAAAAAATTCAGTAGTGAAATAGTATCAAGAACATCAAACACATTTATTGCTTGCCATAAAAATATGACATAATATAAAATGCTGTTAATATATTTAAAAGGCATCTTATTTATTATAACAATTAAAATATCAAACTTAATAACTAATAAACTTTGAGAGAACTTTCTTTTCCAATAAAAGCTTTTTGGGTTAAAAGATAATTTTGACAAGAATGTTTTCCATGAAATACCTACAACCATGGAAGCTATTAGTTGTACTTAGTAAATACTGAAAAATATATTTCCTGGTGTAGAAGTAGCTTAAATATGCATTCTGCACTTCTTGAGAAATTTTAGCCAGTCTAATTAAATGTTTCTAATTAAAATTGTATAGATAGGAAGAAAATTAATGGCTTTGTTTGAACTGTTTGTGTATTTCACCGTCAAGCATACTGGATATAATTGCAATGCCAAGAAGAAATCATCAAAATTATTCTTTATCCTATTGATTTCCTGTTACATCAATTCATTTATACCCTTCATTTTTCTAGCCTTAAAAGAAAACAGAAGCAGCTAAATATAAGACTTTGACCTAGGGGATTCTTTTCCCCAAAACTATTAGCTAGAAAGAACATGTATTGAACAAAATAAAGGTTAAGCTTCAATTAAGCATTCTAAATATATTTAGTGAAATATTGAAAAACTCGTAATGTTACCACCCACACGGTTAACCAAAAGCTGTGAATACAGTAAATTAAAACAGAAGCCAAAATAGTGCTCATATGGTTTATTACATCATTGGCTTTCTACGGTAAATTATGATTGCCCTTACATTATATATAATTGTTTATAAGAGAAAAAATATGTATTCCAAAAATAAATAAATATAACTGTTTCATAAATGTGCCAACATTGTAGAAAGTCTTCCAATGAATGGTTGAATTTAAAGTCACATATATACTTAATTTTTCTCCTCATATTTAAATGCTCTTTCTAGAGCCTAAAATTTACCTGCAACTAACTAGCTCATGCACTTGCTACATTCAAGTCCTGTGTTGTAGCAAGATACTAGTCATTCATTTGCTGCCAAAATTGCATGTTTAATCTGTGGCTTCAAAATCAAAACAAAACTCAGCAATAAAATACAGGTTGAAGTGTATTTTCCACAGAGGAAGTGGAGATCTTCTCATGGTTCTGGAGGGAATCATTCTTTCTCTCTGCTTTTCTACTTCTAAGAAATATTTATGGCATTGGCTTGAGCACAGTTCTCAGATTCCTGACTGTGAGCTTTGTTGCCATATCTTTTTAAAAACTAGACTTTTCTTGATGATCTGGAAACTGTTGGGAGCTCAGCTGATGCTCATGGAGTTCAGTGCAAAGGCTTCAACTTCATAATAATTTCTGCCACAGAGATTCAGCAATGATTCTCTCACCTAGTTGCTGTAGGGTTATCAGTGCTACTGCCCAAATTGCACAACTTACTAATTTTGGCAAAAGTTTCCAACAGTTTAGTTAGGAGAATGATCCAAAGTCATCTGGCATTATGTGTGTATTGACTCACTCTCTCATCCTGAGGAAGGTAGTGTTATTACCATTTTAGGTATGTGTAAACTGAGTTTATATGTATTAATTTTCCTAAATTCACATAAATAATGAGAAGGATAACCAGGAATCTAACCCCAGTAGATCTGATTTTATAGCTATCCTCTTCCCAATATATTTGATTGCTATGATTAAAGATGTGTGTGTGTGTGTGTGTGTGTGTGTGTGTGTGTGTGTGTGTAGAGAGAGAAAAAAAAAATAGAGAAAAGAAGGAAAATTTTTCTCTTCCTAATATTTGGAAAGATTTTCTTTACATTTTGTAACTTCATCTGCATATCTTTATACAATTTAACTTTTGAAAATATGTATTGATACTTGGAATTCTTGATTTGTCAGCTTTCAAAGGTACCTATTTATATATGGCAATTAGTACTCCAATAGGTAGTGGTGGATTTATATTGTATCCACTTAACCAACCTGGAATAATATTTTCAGATCTCTGTGCCCTGTGTAGTATCTGGTTAGCATGGGATACAACAGGCATTTTACATTCAAGCAGTAGTCATATATACATATATTTTTACACACAGAAGTTTGGTGCAAGGCATGAGGCACCGTAGCTCTCCTGAATTATTGCATCTTTTCCATCCCACCTTTTTGCTGTGGGATAGAAGCTGAGCTTTAGCTCCTTAAGTTTGTGCCACATTGTTTCCTCCAGCTCCTTTAAATCCCAGACCAGGTGTGTGCTCACCTCTGAGATGAAGAACATCAGTTTCTCCAGCAGGCCACCCCCACCTTATCAAAGCCAGAGGACTGGAGGTGGTGAGAGACCAGTGTTGGCTCCAATTCATTCTCAGAGATTCTGCCTTTGTCCTTGCTTTTCCTACATCACTTTTGGCTTTCCTATCAGCTGCCTGTCCTGTGGACATTTCAGGCTCTAACAAGAAACACAGAAGCAACAATCTTACATAGATGACTTAGCTCCCACAATTGTAGGAGGTCCAATCCGTAAAATAAATCTGGCTCAATGAGCCGACTTCTCTGATTGTTCCCTGATTGAAATGATGTCTACTCAATGTCTGTTCATCTCCCCCATTCCTGACCCAGGCTTCCACCACATACTTTGGTTGGTTTCATCACTATTACTGTTTCCTCTATACATGTAACTGATTATTTTCTCTTCAATTTATCCCTCTTAGGGAGTTAAACCATTTGTATGTGACTCTCCTTTATCTTCTATATCTATTCTTTTTCTCAAACATGTTAAGCACATCTTTTAATTTCATTCCACTCAGTTTTCTGAAGCTTATCTTATTTGCCCTTGCTATCCTTTACAGAGTGACTGATTTTCATTTTATTGCTTTACACATGACTTTTGCTTTCACAATGTTAGTGTTTATCTCTTCCATTTCTTCACTAAGACCTTTCAGCTTGTTTTTTTTATAATTTTGTTGTTTTTGTTTTCTTGTTTAAACTCCTTGAAACATTAAAATTCTACTCTTCATTTTTTTATATTTCCAGTAGCACCGTTTATAACTTATAATTTAAATTTGCTATATAGCTTTTATGGCTTAGATTATTTTTCTCCTGGTTGTATTTCATCCCTCTTAATTCTTATGTAGATGTTTCTGTAGCTTCCACAGCGTTTGTTGCTGTGGTTACTCATTTTTTTTAAATAGGAGTACCTTTTTTCCAGATCAGATAATCTTTGCAGAATAGTGTCAAGAAGTAGTTGGGAATGTAGGGTGGGTAAGCTAGAATCTAAGATATTAGTCTGTTGCTTCAGAAGACGTTCTCAGAAATAGCCTGATCCATGTCATGTCTGTATTCTGGCCTTACTCAGAGTGGAACCTGATTTGTCATGAGTCCTTTTGTGATGTAAACTGAATCCCATCCAGGTTTAATTGACACTGTCACAATGACATTCTGACTCCTGCCATATGGATTTTTTGTGCATTTCCTCATTTGGCCCCTGCCACTCACATGTTACGATACTGCGGAGGGCGGGTGTTAGGAAGGCTGTAGCAGCATCTTACACAACTAGTACCGTGATATTCAAAGAGAGTAATTTATTTTCCTCCTCAGGATGTGAAAGATACTTTTAGACAACTCTGAAAAGTCGTTCTAAAATATTTACAGACATCATTGTGTTTTCCCATGTCTAGTTTTCATTTTCAAAGCATTTTTGGCCTTTTCTTGATTGTGATTCAGCATTATTTCTGTTTTATAGTTTATGAAAAATCTTACTCATTTTTTTCTTTTTCTTTTATATTGTCAGTTAGTGTGAAAGATGAAAGCTACACAGAGACTCTCTTTACTTAGAACAAGAGCTTACATTATTTTTCACCAAAAATATAAATAATTAAATAGCATGACCAATTATTGTCTGCTACCTATCTCTACTACATCACCGGTAAGTACCTAAGTCCTTCAACTATCAGTTTCTGCTCTATAATCCCAGTTAGGACAAAAACTAAACATGAAGAGCTCAAACTTCAAGAAGTTAGGCTCTTAATTTGAAGTCTATGATATATCTAGAGATGAAGTCCTTGTCAGATCTACATTTAAGACACTCTCCATGTTTCTGACTGTTGGGTAGAATCCTGTTTACATTCAGTTCAAACACTTGGTCATCAGAGAGTGGTTAATGGGAATCTGAACCAAATGAAGATGTTGCCATATACTTGATGATCATCATCGGTGCCTACAAATTTTTTTGACATGTTCCTACAATCTCATCATTTGCCCTTGAAAGTCTACACCAGGAAAAATTGTACCTAAGTCTGCCAACTGGAATTTGTGACTTGCTCTTCTCATCAGAATCTTTGGAAAAGCCATTCCCATAGCCAACGTATATCTCTTAGTTCTGGCCTATTCATTTCCTCCCTTTCCTCACCAGCTCTTTTTTTTCTGAGGTTGATAGAATGCCCTACATTCAAACATAAGTAGGGTAGGTCAACTTTATTATAATGGGAAAAATCAGTGTCACAGTCATAATCTTATATATGATGATAGATACCAGCTAGAAAGCAACTGCTCTGCTACAACAGTGTCATTCCTGATGAGAAGACAAATGAATGTGATGAGCTAATTTGGATAACATTCTATATAAATCAGGAGTTCAGCTATATCATTGTTCCTGAAAAGCTAAAGCGTGTTTGTAAACTTAGTTTAACATTGCTACTGACTAATCCAGTCACTTGCAGTTTAATTATTGCAATTGCCCTCATTTGCTTTCTGAATATGAGAAAAAGATGATAGAAGAATTTAAGCAGAGAGTCTTATTTGCTAACAAAACCATTTAAATAGCATTATTTTGTATACTCACATTATCTCATTTAAAGTGATTTAATGGAGACTGGAGCAAGCACTCTTTACATACCTGCCATGAGCCTTGTAAGAAGCTCAGAGAGTATTTTCATTAGTTTATTTAATACATAAGCACTTAAGTGAGAAAGAACATTGTGACAATACATATCCTGTCCATTATTGTGAAACTACTGTGTTATACTAGAATGAGTCTTGATTCTGCCATATGTTGTACATAGGATTTTTTACAATTCATCTGATTTCTCATTCCAAGGCTTTTTCGTGGTAAAAAAAAAAAATGTAATGCCTGACTCAGAGTCTGTAGCAAGGGTTTAAAAAGAATACTTTGTTTAAAGCCATATATCAGTATGTCAGTGTGAATATAAATCACGTAGCTTGAAGAAATCAGAAAGTCTTCAAAGAGGAGATTTAAACCAAGTCTTGAAAGACGAGCACAACTTATGTAGATATAGATGTATAGAAAAGGGGTTTCAGGCAGATAAAACAGTATATGCAAAAGAATGATAAGGATAGGTAAAGGGAAAATTGAAGAGTTGAGTGTGAATTAACAAGACTATAGGGTAAATTCAGAAGAATAAAGAGTTAGATATAGAGAAGTAAGTTGGGTTTAGAAACTTTCTTTATCCCATGCCTACTACTTTAAGCTAATTTTACAAAATTATGCTCACATCTTATCCTCAAGTTTTTAATTCATTAGTTTTATATTGAGCAAGGTGCACAATTCAAATCTAGATGTTTTAGTGCTTTATTTTTCTACAGTTAATTTTGTTTTGGCATTTAAAGTTGTAAAAGGAATACATTGGCTAAATAACCACAAGCAGCATACAAAGTCATGTGCTGTGTAATGATGTTTCAGTCAATGACTGACCACATATAGAATGGTAGTCTCATACGATTATAATGCTGCATTTTTGCTGTCAGTTTTCTATGTTTAGATACATAAATGATCATCTTTGTGTTACAATTGCCTACTAAATTTAGTACAGTAACATGCTGTACAAGTTTGTAGCCCAGGAGCAAAAGGCTATACCATATAGACTAGAAATGTCGTAGGCTATATCACCTAGGTTTGTGTATGTAGAGCTAGCCCTCCAATATCCATAGGTTTCATATCAATAGATTCAACCAACCACAGATACAAAACATTTGGAAAGCAGAATCAATACAACAATACAAACAATACAAATTTAAAATATAAAATAGCAACTATTTACATAGAATTTACATTGTATTGGGTATTATAAGTAATCTAAGATAATTTAAAGTACACAGGAGGATATGCATAGTTTATGTGTGAATGCTGTGACATTTTATATATGGGATTTGAGAATCCATGAATTTGGTATATGTGGGGAATCCTGGAACAATCTCCTGTGGATAGTAAGAAACGACTGTACACTCTATGATGTTTGTACAGTGACTCAATTGCCGAGTGATGCACTTCTCAACATGTATCTTCATTGCTAAATGACACATTGCTGTAGTTGAATCTTGCTTGTTTTATTTTGTAATGTACTCTGACAGTCTCTGCCTTTGTAATAGGGGTGATTTGACCTTTTACATTTACTGTGATTATTGACATAGCTGAGTTACAATATATCATCTTACAATTTATTTTCGATTTGTGACATATCATTAATTTACTTTTCCTCTTTACTGCCTTCTTTTGGATTCATTATGATTTTATCATTTCATTTTATCTCTTTGGTAGATGATTCATTTTAATAGTTGTTTTAGAGTTTATAGGATACATCTTTAATGTAAAATGTCTATAAGTAATATTATGCCATTTCAAGGATATAATTTTGAAAACAGATAATGTTATGCTTCCTTTTAGGTCCTTTGTGCCATTATTTTCATATTTTATTTCTGAATGTTTTGCAAAGTAGAGTATACATTGTTACTATGTTTGCATTACACAGTTGTCTTTTTAATAGAATTTTTACATCAGGAAAAAAAGACCCTTATATATTTATACACCAATTTCCTTTTTGCAAGATTTTTCATTCCTCTGTGAAGATCTAGATTTTCATATGGAATTTTTTCCCTTCTGCCCGTAGGAGTTTCTTTAACATTTCTTCAAGGGTAGGTCTGCTGATGACAAATGCTTTTTAAATGATTATGCCTGAAGAGTATTTTGTCTTCATTAGTGAAAGATATTCCCACGATAAATGTTAGGTTGACAGATTATCCTTTTTGTACTTTGAAGATGCTGTTCTGCTGTCTTTGGGCTCACTGTGTTTCTTATGAGAACTCTTCTGCCATTCTTATCTTATTCCTCAGTATGCAATGTGTCTTTTTTCTTTCTCTGACTGCTGTTAGCATAGTGTCTTTATCAGTTGCTTCCAGAAATTTGATTTCAATGTGGCTTAATGTAGGTTTTTTAAATGTGTCTTTTTCTTGGGATATATATATATAAATTTTCAGATCTGTTTATTTATAGTTTCCTTCAAATTTTGAAAAATTCAGCCATTGTGTCTTTAAAATGTGCTCTCTTTTGTTCTAACTCTCCTTGGTCTCCTTCAGGAATTGCAGTTTCCCATATAGTAGGTCACTTAAAGTTATACCACAGTTCAATAATGTTCTGCTTATTTTTAGGTTTTTTTTTTCTGTTTCATTTTAAGTAGTGTCTAATTCTATTTCCACAAGTTCATCAACCTTTCACTTGTACTCCTGAGGCTTTCAACTCCATTTCTGCAGCTCAGAGCGTGTCATTGAGTTGTGCATTAGTTCTCTGCTTCTCTACTACTGTCTGGAAACACTCTCCATACAGTAAGCTGCTTTAATTGTAGAACTCACTTCACTTGTTTCCACTGTTTCAGGAGTTACGGCTCAGAACTGAATGATGTACAATGTTGGAAACAACCGTTCCACATATTTTGTCCAGGATTCTAGTTGATTGGGGTGAAAAGGGAAAATACACCTTGGCTGAAAGTAGAAATAATGTTTTAAGCACATCTTAAGTATACAAAAAGCTTAACAATAAAAAGATGAAGAAAAAACAGATTATTCCTACATTAATCCACACAAAACAAGAGGTCCTATATTAATATCAGATCAAATAGATTTCAGAATAATGAATACTACCTGAAATAAAAAGGATTGCTGGACGATGATGAAAGATCAATTCAGAAAGATGAGATAACAAACCAAGTATTTATGTATCGAGTGACAGAGCTTCAACATTCATGATAAAAACTGATCAAACAGAAAGAAATGGACAAATCTACAGTTACAGTTGATAATTTGTATGCGTTTCTATTAATAAGTTATTTAAAAAGTAGACAAAAAGTTAGAAAGTATATTGAACAGTAATATCAACCAATTTGAACTAATTGACCTATTTGAAATTATTAGAAAATCCTACCCAACAAACTGTAGAATATACATTATTTTCACGTACACCAGGATAGAACACATTCTCAGTATAAGACAGGTCTGTAGCACATTTGATCTGATTCAAATAATGGAAAATATGTTGAAAGACGGTATTTAAATTCAGTTAGAAACCAATCAAACTCTTTTCAAAATTTCAAAATGCATGAAGCCAAAAAATTCTCGTTTCTACTATCTCATGGGTCAAAGAAATATTAAAGGTAGCCCATGGCTTACACCTGTAATCTCAGCACTTTAGGACACCAAGGCAGAAAGATTGCTTAAGTCCAGAAGTTTGAGACCAATCACAGAATACACAAAACCAGTGTTTAAAGAAAATGTTATAGCTCTAAACCCGTATAATATAAAGGAAAAGAAGTTTCAAATAAATGACCCAAAGTTTCATCTTAAGAAACTTTAAAAAGAACAAATTATACCTAAAATAGGAAAAGAAACATAAGTTAGTGAAACAGAAAACTTAAAACATAGAGAAAAATTGAGGAGGATTCAAGATGGCGTGGTAAGAACAACCCAGGATTGCAGCTCTCAGTGAATGCACAGAGGGTGAGTCAAAGCCGCATTTCCAGATAGATCTTTCTTGCCCACAGAATGGGGAAATTCCCAGGTGTAAGAGAGACACGGGATGCCAGCGCAGCTGTTTTGGCTGGTGCGGCCGCTTCGGCCAGCGCCGAAGCACAGTGGCCCTCTGCAACACTCTGCAAAAAACGAACATGTCCGGGTGCCCTGTTAAACCGGCAATCTGAGACATGGGAGGGCAGATTAGCATATCCATCTGATTAAATGAGACTTGGACAGTGAGCCAGACCAGGAGATTCCTGGGAAGCGGCGTTTGAGCCAGCGCAGTGGGTCACTGCATGGGAAATCACACCATTCAACTTAAAAAAAAATAAAAGGAGGCACTCTGAGGCAGTGAGCCAGGTGAGCAGGCTCGCTGGGTTTCACCCCCACTGGGACAAACAAAATGGCGATTCGAAATGCTCCGGGTGGAGAGTTTCACTGCGGGCACAGCTGAACCCAGGACGGTGCAGCTCGGTGGGGGAGGGGCATCCGCCATTACCGAGGCAATCCGCCCCTACTGAGGTACACTCCCATTGCCAACGCAGACTGCCATTGCCGAGGCAACCCGCCATAACAGAGAGACTCCACTGCAGGGCAGAGTCCATGGCAGCAGGGCGGAGACTACGGCAGCAGGGTAGAGCCCGCAGCAACTGGGTGGACCCCATGCCAGCAGGGCGGAGCCTTGGCAGGCAAATAGTGATTAGACTGCCTCCTAGCTGGGCAGGACAGTGCAAGGGACACTCATAAAGAAAGCCCCAACTCCCCAAGACAGAGAATCTGAGGAAAAAAAGGTGGTTTTATGAGTTCTGCTGCAGCAGACTTAAACATAGCAGCCTAACAGCCCTGAATGAACAACAGAGCTCACAGCTCAGCACTTGAGCTCCTATAAAGTACAGACTGTCTCCTCAAGCAGCTCCCTGAACCCTGTATATCCAAAGAGTCACCACAAAAAAGGACTGATCAGACTGACATTTGGCGGGCATCATTCTGGGTCAAAGATAACAGAAGAAACTGGTAGCATCCCTCACTTTTCCGCAGCTGCTGCAGGTGTACCCCAGACAAGCAGGGCCTGGAGTGGACCTCAGCAGTTGTACAGCAGAGGG